ACCGAAAATACCGAGGTCGATCTCGGATATAAAAAGGCATCGCTCTCCACAGGAAATCACTCCTCGTTTACTCCTGTTCCTAGCTCGTTTTCCGAGAGCCCGTCTCAAAGGAAGCGAGCATCCGTAACCAGTAGCAAGCCTGAGATTTGTTGGGGTTCTCCCCAACGCGCCAAGTTCGCTTGGCCTGGCCGAAAGCCGTCTCCGTAGCTCGCACGGCAAGCCGAGAGTTGCTGGGGTCTCCCCAGTGCGTCGAGTTCGCTCGACCCGACTCCGCCGTTCCCGAGATTTCACCGCCGAGTATCGGGGTTCTCCCCGATACGACCTCTCCGAGCACCAGGGTACACCCTGGTCGGCCGAGTACACTCGGCATCGCCACTTTCTTCTCCGCACACAGCTGGGGCCCTCCCCGGCTGGCCGAGTTCACTCGGCATTCAGACAGACAGACGAGGGGCGCACCCCCCGTCAGCCGAGCACTCTCGGCAGGGAACGGGCACACCCGTTCTCCGATCTCGACGATCCGCCGATCTCGCGAAATATCCACCCTCGCGACAACACCCGCGACACGTGTGCACGTTTAAATCCACGCCGATTTAAAGGCCCGCGACGAACACGTGCGACACCGCCGCCGCCGCGCGCGCCCCGCGCCGCGATCAGTATCGCGCCGACCGCCCGAGCGATCTCTTATTTTGTATTCACGCGTTATCCGCGCGCCGATCGCCGTCTCGCCCGTCCATGGCCACGAACATTAAACGCGACGATTCGGTGCATTCCATCGCACCACTCTTAGTCAAATAAACATCGTTATTTATTATCATTCTCGCCTAACAATTTAATCACACCTTTCTGTCTCCAACGTCCTCGCTTCTCCTCCTGGTAACCGACTGACTGCTCTCCGCGCGGGAAAGCGAGACCGTTTTACATTAAATAAATCGAAGAGAGAATTAAAGCTAATTCCTCAGCAAGCAGGATCTTGCTTGCTATTATAAATTTTATATATAAAATAAATTTGAACAGCTAAATTTTATTGTAAAACTACATATAAAAACTACAAAAAATACATACATCTATACTATATATATATAACAGTATCGTATAAAACTACAAGAATACATATGTTCATACATACGTACATAGATATGATACATAGGTACGTACATACGTGCATATATGCATACATATAAACTACATATACAAATATATAAAATATATGTACATTGTATAAACATGTATATTACAATGGAATCCGCCAATGTCCTCACGATAACGTCTTCGTCGAGTCCGGTACGATGTATCGTTTGTCATTGTACGGACTCAGAGCGATTTTCGACTCGGACACCGTATATATTTGATGTAGCTTGGATCTTATACACGACTGGCGACGAGTCATTTCGATCTCTTCATTCAAGCACCGTGTGTAATCGTCGAACATTATTGTTCGCGCTATGACGTTATTCTTTACACCTTTCGCCTTTTTAATGTCTTTTCTGCCGTCCACGCTCACCGCGTACATCTTCGCTCTGAGTCCGACGAATTCTATCATTATCGCACCGTTATTCTCATCCTTCATTAGACTAGGTACCTTTTTATTCACGAGAGGCATCCCGTACGCGTTGTCTGGTGGATAATCGCTCGTATCGAATCTAGCGATATCGCGTTTCATCGTCTCATACACATCGTCACATTCGATATACATGTGATATACAAGACTGTCGGTGTATATGATCTTACATTTCTTGCGATACAGCGGTGACATGTATTCGTGGTGAAATTCGTACAAGCAGATTTTCGATATGTCGAGTATACATATACCCACGTAAATTGGCTTGTTGAATTTCACTTCGAGTTTACGCAGTTCGACGGCGATTAAGTTTTTCGCAAAGACGCTACGGCTGTAGAAATTTGGTTTCGCGATCATTGCTTCCGCGTCATACCGTCCATCCCATTTGGTCAAAAGTTTAACATCGACGTGATTGCGCACATTTTTTCATTGTTTTACCGAATACAGCGTTGTTCATTAATTTGTACAAATTTTTTTCGAAATTGTTTTTTGCGCGTTCTAAAGTGTGTATTGAGTTCGATGTAACCGCGGAGCCAGGCGGATTGAGCAAATTGTAGTACGCGATCTTTGCGATCGTATCTTTGCGATACGAAGACCATGGCGTGTACATTGCTGCAGGTTGCGATAATGGATGACGTACTGCTTCTTATCGTATAACGTCGCGAAAAGTTTATTCTGCCAGGTGGTTTATTGCGCGTCGGACAGAAAGGTAGGTCAGTGTGTCGATCGTGCAAATGATGCGGATACTCGAGATCGATCTTGAGAATATAATCCGTAGGCGAATCCGGAGCGATCGCGCTCGCGTCAAAATTCTCAACGTCTTCAACCCATCGAAATTCAGCATAGGGCAGCGGACACATCGCCCATCCATACATATTGTTCACGTCGTAATACATCAAATACGACGACAATTTCGACGGGTCGTACGAACGCATGTACTTGTTATTGGCCTGCGTGTATCTGCCGGAACATTGACTGAGACCGCCGCGTTCGATAAACATAACCATATCGGTGAGCAACTCAAATTTTACACGCGTATGTTTCAGCATGGCGTCCCACGTGAAACCTGGCAATGTGTAGTAATGAGCGGGATCGAGTCCATAACTCGCGACGCAATTTTCGCGGAAATTTTCAAAAACGTCGGTCAATAACAAGACATCGGTCTTGAGATATAGATCGTTGTATTCGCCGAGCGTTCGGATGGAGAACCGCTGCCAGACGTTCGCGGCGTGCGCGTAATCATTCTCCGACACCGTATCACCGGTCAACGAGCTATAGAATGATTCGCGCGATGGTAAACGCGTGTCCTGCAACTTGTCCGCGCGATCCACGTATTCGTAGGGAAAGACACCTTTACGCGTCAACAAATCAAAATCTTCGTTTGATACTGTGGAAAATTCGGAATATAAAATTTTCAATTTTTCTTTCGTTAGAAAAGATGCCAATTTATCGAGACTGGTATTTAAAAATTTGTACGAATCTATGAACCACAGGCGTAATTTCGTGAATCTGATCTCTCGATGATATCTTGAACATGTTTTGTAAACGAAATATATTTTTCTTTTGTTATCGGCAGCACGTCGATCCTGCCTTCGAACGCCATAGCTATTTCCGTGATGATAAAATGCGCGTCATAACTGGATAAGTTGTGAAATACTATGGGAATGCAATATGAATCTTTATAATTTAGATTACAATTTGAGTGCGCGGGACCACAGTAACGACCGGTAAGATGGCAATGATTGCGTACCTGCGTGTCGTCCGACGCAAATTTTTCACAAATATGACAACGCGTCGCGCTACGATATGCCTCCCACTGCTCTCTCGACAACGTTTCCATGGGAACATTCGCGGATAACAGAATTTTTACTTGATGCGCCAAATCTTCGAATTGTCGAACGAACCACGCAACGCAGTTTTCGCCACGACGAAATCGATATACCGATAACGCGTTGTCGTATGAGCATCGCACGTAGTATCCGATGCTAAATATCTCGTGCTGCTGATAAGTGTACGATGCGTCTTCCTTCTCTGCCGGTTCCGTTCGCCGTAGTACGCACTCCAAGTCCGCGTAAATAATGAATGGAAGTCGTTCTTTATTCGTGTGGTTCTTGAATTCGAGCCACTTGTCGTCCTCGCTCGGCAATCGAATGACGCAATTGTTTATTTTTTCGCAGTCCGTTGTATGTGACTACAATTTTTCAGACGAACTGAAGTAATGTAAACATCTGCAAACGGAAGATATGATTTTTTAATAAACAATTTTATAAGAGAAATAATAAAATTTGTTAAAATACATACCGGTCGCAAAAGTATTTCTTG